AATCTAGTTGTGTCTATATCCTTAAGAATCCTATTTATAATAAGTAACTTGGCCTTAATTCCATTTAGTTAGATTAGTCTTCAAATTGACAGAAATTTTTTTTTAAAATGTCATGACTTGGATGGATCGTGTAGCGCATGCACAAATAATTGATGAATCAAACTTTCATTATCTTCAAAAATTTCTTATTAAAGGGAAACTGTAAATTGCTATTTATTTTATGTTATGGCTTTTATTTTGATTTTTTCTTTTATAGCTACCATAATAATAGAAAAATCTTCAGTTAATAGAACTTAGAAATAAAAGAAATTGATAATTGCGTTAATAATATCATAAATTCTAAAACATGATTTTTTCATTCAAAAAAACTTTATTGAGGTTACTATGAAGGTTATTTAATATTTTTCTTATTAAAACCTACTCCTTTAATTTTTTTTTACTTAGGTTATTAAATTTCAAAAAATTTAAGTTTTTATCAATACCATACTTGTCCTAATACAATTGTCTTTATCAACTATATTTTCACAAACTAAATCAACGCAAGTTCCAGGTGAAAATAGAATCTAACCGGTATAAACTTTCGGATCAAGAACAGCCTGAATATTAAGAGGCTAATATAAAATAGAAAAAAAATATAAAATAGCAAAATTCTTCTAAATATCATCAAATTAGGAAAAGTGTATTTTCTTTTTTATTAATATAATGGGATTTAAGGTTAAATATAATATTTGCTACAAATATTGGTTTATAATTACCTAGTAAGCAGTTTAATCACGAAATCAATAGAAAAAAATATCAATAGAATTGAATTGATTTCTTTTAAAGAATAAAAAAGAAAAAAACGAAGTTTTTAGCTTTTATGATTATGTATAGATTTAAAAAATATTTAATAATAATAAAAGACAGAAAAGGTAATTCTGAAAATGTAGTATAAAGCAAGTATGCTCTGATTGACTGTTGGATAATTATTTTTTATTTTAATATAAGATTATGCAATTAGAAATATTAAAAAATAAAAAAACCATAAATTATTCAATTATAAAAAACCCCATAATTAAAAATTGTATCAAAATACCTAAAACTATCAAAAAACATAAGCAAATTCTAAATAAAACATTTTAAAATAAAAAAAATAATTGTTAATAACATATTTAAACATGTAATCATTTATATAATGAAAATTGAATATAACTAAAATTATTGTTAATCATTAAATCATCAATGTTTTAGACTTCAATAAATTATTCCAATTAATAGTTAAAATTAAATTAAAAATTAATTTAATATTTCATGATTCATAACAAAATTCTAAAAGGATAAAAGAAACAAAATGGAAGAATTTAATAATGATGAATTCAAATTAAAAAAATTACGATTTAAATTTGAAAATAATTAATTCTAAAAGAGTAGTTTTTAGAGAACACTTAAAGAAAAGAACATTTGACAATTTAATGGATTTAGAACCCCTAATATGAAAAAATCACTTAATTAAAATTAAGTGATTTTTTTAATTATTAATAAAGAATAATAGCAATATAAACCAAAAAAATAAAAAAAAGAATTATGTATACACAACTAATAATACTAAATATGGATTAATGACATTTATTAAGCAATTGTTAACTTTATTATGGATTAATAAGTCACTTTATATTCAAACATATATTTGATAAAAATTAAAAAGTACTAATTCAAAATCATAATTTTATTACATAAAGCTCATTTCATAATTCTTATAATTGAAAAAAAGATTTATAGTTAAAATTCTAAAGAATAATATCTATTTATATATCAAAGAACATTTTTATGATTGAATATTTCTAATAACAATTAACATCAATATATCAATAATATCTTAGTTATCCTTATCAATTAAAAAAAGCCAATTTTACAGAATAGAATAAAAAATTATAATAAGTTAATAAGCTAATTGGATAAATCAAATGTTAGAATTATTTAAAAAGTATATTAGAAAGTTGAATAATATATAAATGACTAAAATAAACAACTTTCAGATTCTTTGGTTTTATTTTCTGATATATGTAAACAAGAATTTATATTTGAGAAATGGTTGAAAATCCACTAAAAAATAATTCCTTCAATAAAGAAAAAAAAAGTACTTCACAGCTTCTATTTAATTTTCGATTTAAAATCAAGTCAATATTTCAGAATTAAATATTTCTATATTTAGAAACTCAATTTCTACTGATACTAATACTTTTTATAGATAAAAGGTCAGACGAACTTTGATATCTAAAACCAATAAATAAATTATTCAAATATAAATTTTAATCCTTAAATATTTACTTATACATAAGTTAATATAAATTATATAATATTATTAAACATTGTGCAGATTACAACACTTACTCTTATTTTTTTAACTTAAATTTTTTAAATATTTTCCAAAATATAATTTTAAAAATTATGNTATTGTTAATCATTAAATCATCAATGTTTTAGACTTCAATAAATTATTCCAATTAATAGTTAAAATTAAATTAAAAATTAATTTAATATTTCATGATTCATAACAAAATTCTAAAAGGATAAAAGAAACAAAATGGAAGAATTTAATAATGATGAATTCAAATTAAAAAAATTACGATTTAAATTTGAAAATAATTAATTCTAAAAGAGTAGTTTTTAGAGAACACTTAAAGAAAAGAACATTTGACAATTTAATGGATTTAGAACCCCTAATATGAAAAAATCACTTAATTAAAATTAAGTGATTTTTTTAATTATTAATAAAGAATAATAGCAATATAAACCAAAAAAATAAAAAAAAGAATTATGTATACACAACTAATAATACTAAATATGGATTAATGACATTTATTAAGCAATTGTTAACTTTATTATGGATTAATAAGTCACTTTATATTCAAACATATATTTGATAAAAATTAAAAAGTACTAATTCAAAATCATAATTTTATTACATAAAGCTCATTTCATAATTCTTATAATTGAAAAAAAGATTTATAGTTAAAATTCTAAAGAATAATATCTATTTATATATCAAAGAACATTTTTATGATTGAATATTTCTAATAACAATTAACATCAATATATCAATAATATCTTAGTTATCCTTATCAATTAAAAAAAGCCAATTTTACAGAATAGAATAAAAAATTATAATAAGTTAATAAGCTAATTGGATAAATCAAATGTTAGAATTATTTAAAAAGTATATTAGAAAGTTGAATAATATATAAATGACTAAAATAAACAACTTTCAGATTCTTTGGTTTTATTTTCTGATATATGTAAACAAGAATTTATATTTGAGAAATGGTTGAAAATCCACTAAAAAATAATTCCTTCAATAAAGAAAAAAAAAGTACTTCACAGCTTCTATTTAATTTTCGATTTAAAATCAAGTCAATATTTCAGAATTAAATATTTCTATATTTAGAAACTCAATTTCTACTGATACTAATACTTTTTATAGATAAAAGGTCAGACGAACTTTGATATCTAAAACCAATAAATAAATTATTCAAATATAAATTTTAATCCTTAAATATTTACTTATACATAAGTTAATATAAATTATATAATATTATTAAACATTGTGCAGATTACAACACTTACTCTTATTTTTTTAACTTAAATTTTTTAAATATTTTCCAAAATATAATTTTAAAAATTATGTTCTATAGCTCTATTTATATATATTAAATTCATAGAAATTCATTTTTTTTTTTGCAAAATTTAAGTATCTTTCCTAATTAATCTCAATTTGTATGCAATTAAGGCCATAGTGTAAAAAATGGTTTTTCACAAAAAGGATCAGATGTTAGAATATTCTAGCAATTTTACATGTCGTAAGTGTTTTGCAGAAACTCTCTTTTGATTTCATTGTAATTCTGTTTTCAATATACATTGAGAATTAACTTATGTATTTAATGATTAATAAATTGTTGAAAATATTTCAAAAAATAGAATGTAATATTAATGGTTTATGTAATACTATTTCGAATTTTAGAATAAAATAAAAAATAGAAATTAATTTAGAAAATTATTTCTCAAAAATAAGAATTTAAACTCAAAAATATGGAATATTTAAATAACAATCATGTAATTCTCTATGGCAAAAGCAAATGCAGAAATAAGCTCGTTAGATTTAGATTCCGAAGGAATACTTAGAAAGAGTAATTATATGAGAAATAGACCTAGTTTAGCCATCATAATAGAGTATATATTCAATAATAATTAGCATAATTGTTTTTCAAAATTCAACAATTTTATTTTCTAACCGACTGTAATTTTAAAGCATGGGTTTTTAAATTAAATTTATTAACCTTAATTCTTAATAATAATTGAAGAATTGTATATTTTTATATAAGATAAATACACATACATTTATGGGTACCTAATTCTAAATAATCATTGTATTCCTGCTGTTTTATATATTTAGTTAATTCTATAGATTTCTCATTCCATTAATCGATTGTTGGTGAGGTATTAATCTCATTTATGTAGAGATGAAAATTGAATTGCTTTAACATTATATATTATGGATATGTATGATATACTGTTATTTTTCAATTTTTTGAATAGATTTGCTTTTGAATTATTTACTATAAATTTTGTGTAATTAATTAATTTAATTGTAAAATTTTTTAGTTGATGAGTTTTTAAAGAGATAAGGGGTATTTTTTGCCTAGATATTAATTAATTTAGTTAAAATCCTCTTAAAGGTAAGAGTGATTATATAGATCTGACTCTTAATTAGCTGTGTACATAATCTCAGTGATTTATAAATGTTTAATATTTATAGATATTGAAAATTATTGTTGAAAGCAATCAAAGAACTTATTTCTTAAAATTAAATTAAGAAAAATTCAGAAAAAAAGAAACCAAAAAAAATTGTGATTTTTGTCACTCATTAAATCTAATTTGATATTTAATGTTACAAAATAGGCATTTCAAATGAAGGTGAATTAAAAGATCAAGGCTAATATTAAGATATTAAATCTAGTTTATATATGATCAATGAAGAGTTAGCATAACAAATAAATTAATAAATTTAATTAAAAAAAAAACAACCATGTGAATTAGAAATTCTTCGAAAATAAAAAATCTAAAATTTTGTTGCTAATAACTTAGTTTGTAAAATAATAATATTAGAACTTTAAGAAGTTATTTTAAATATTAACAATTTTCGAAAGTAAGAGTAATTCTTTTTGTTCCTCTTTTAGAAGCTGGATCTGCAGTTCTAATAAATTACTATTAAAGAATTGTTTCAATTTTTTATGAGCATCAATAAGAAAATGATATTGATACTGTATAATATATCTAAGAAATGCTTAGTTTATGACGATTTCATATAATCAAATAAAGTATTCTTTTGAATACATATTACATATTCAGTATAAAATTCTTCTCAGAGGATAAATTAAGAAATTATAAAATTTTAAATATTGTCACCAGCTTCATATTTTAATGAAAATCATCTGGAAGAATTCTCAATAATTTTTTCTAATAATCTATCTTTATTTGATAGTCAAAAAAATTGAGTTAGCTTGGATGTATTAGAAATAATTGGCAATTTCTTATTTGCTCTAATATAAATTTTGATGATTTTATTAAGAGACAAATATATTCCTGTATCATCTTGGGATTATTCGTATTATCTGAATATAATGGTTTGATACAATGAGTATTAAAACAATAAATAATTTTTCATACACATTAGAACTCTGATAACAGAAAGCTTTAGATTATAAATGTATTGCCAAGCCTCCTTAAAATGTTAAAGAAGATGATAAACATCTTGATTTTTCAAAGGATGGAAGAGGATACAGATCAAATCTTTATTTAGTACTTAAAGAATTGTCATTTGAAATTTAAAGTAATGAAAAAATTGGTTTTTGAAGAATAGGCCCTGAAAATCAAACCATTTTTAGAATGCCAGAAATATAAGATTTATAGAAATCAAAATTATTTAATTCTAGTTAAAATATTAGAAAAATTAGGATTACATAGGGTAAGAAATAAATTTGTAATTATCGCTTAATCTCCTTTCTTATGCAAATTAATTTATTGTATATTGAAGAGAAGTTTCACTATAGAATATTTGTAATCCTTTGGCCAAATAGATGATTTACGCTTTTTGTAATTTAAAAGGTAGATTTGTTGTATTAATTTTCATTATTTGTTATATAAATATTGATTTTTTAAATATTAAAAATTTTTATTAAAACAGCATTAAAATTAGACATAATTGAATTTATAATAATATCAAAATTGATTCTAAAATATTGATACAAATATCAACTTTAGTCTGTATTTTGTTTTAATTTAAACTTCATAAATCCTATTTCATTCTTAAAAATGAAAATATGTAATGATACAATAAATGATTGAAAAATGATTTTATCTTATGCTTCCCAAATATTTGAATTACTTACCTCAATTTAAATTTAGGAATATTAAAAATAAATTTAAGAATACATATTTAAATATTGAATTTTTGACTTTTAATAATTTGGATAAATTTTATAAATTAGAATATTTTTTCAACAGCCCTTCTTATTTTGAATTTAGATTTATTATTAAACATAGTTGATAAGTCAAATATTAATATTTAAAATTCAACTAAACATTTGAAATTTGGCTCAAAACTAGTGGTTGTAATTCCTTAACAGTATGTGGATAAATCGATTACAATAAAAATGATGACTTGATAAAGTTAGAAGGCCCTCCTCAACAATTTGATTGTACATACCATAAAGAAAAGTTTGAAATTAAACCTAACGAGACAGTGAAAGCATTAAAAATAACATTAAATGAATACAATAGATTGAATTTTAAGACAAATGAGCAAAATATGTAATAAATCTAATAAATTAAATTTGGTCGAAAAGTTGCTAAAGTATGTAGAATTGGATGTAAAAGAGTAATCGATTGGTGCAAAATGCTTCCATTAAAAGAAGATGAATTTAATTAAGTTTTAGGTATTTTGGATAAAAGCTTTTGTGATTACTTAGTTTACCTAGAAAATGTATAAAATTAACGAACAACTTTCTATGAAAGTTAACTTAAAAATGAAATAGAAAAAAAATTTAAGAATAAAAGGAAAAGTTGAAAAAATAATGATCAAGGATCTTTTAATATAAAAATATATATTATTTTATTTCTTATAAATTAATCAATAAATAAGGTTATCAAATGCATGAGAAAAGCTAGAAATAAATTTATTTGATTAAATTGAAAATACCAAGGCTTGTTATCTTAAAAAATAATAATAAGCGATATTTTTTGTTAATATACATTAATATAAGATATCTTACATTTAGAGAAAGAATAAAACATTAATTATAAAATTATAAAATATCCTAATAAAATGATGAAATCTACTTAGAATAAAAGCTCATGATGCTGACCTTTCAATTATGATAATTGTTGATTGCCTTGTTTATTCTTCAATTACTTTTGAAGTTTCTTGCAAAAATTGATATGATCTGATATTGCACTAAAATCAAATTAAATACTTAACAGCTATTAGGTTTATAATCACAAAATATTAATTAAAAAAAACTTTAGTTCTATTGTTTATTTAATGCTTAATAGTGTTAAGTATTGATTATAATCCCCACTAGACAATCCTACTAACTATATAATAATTAGCATACCGATATTAGAAGTAGGTATTTTATATTTTATTTTTATACCAGAATTGAGTTAAAATATTATTTTAATCAATTTATGAATAAAAACACCTAATTATTAAATTATTTGATTCTTATAGAGGAACAAATATCTAACTAGAAAGAGTTTGGATGAACCTAGTCAATTCATTATCATTTTATTTACAAATTTTATGGACGGTAATTCTCTTTGTCTATTTAATATATATTTAAAAATAAGTAACTTCTCTCTTTTTTTGTACAAGACTTAATATTATATAGTATAAATATTATTAATGATGTTCTAAAATAATGGAGTGCTAGCTAGTTAAATATTTAAATCAAGATTTTTAATTTGAAATCTATAATTGATGATATGACAAGGAGAAAAATAATATTTGGAAATTTTATTTCGTCTAATTATCTTGATTTTCTGAAAACAATGTTAGAATTTAGAATTTTTTAATATTTTATTAAATTAGATAATTCTGTATTAGAAATAGCTTTACTATGTTGGAAAGATATTTTATTAAAGTATTTGTAATATTTTCTAAATATTTAGGTTTTTTCCATTTAATTTAAATATGAGTATTGTTTGGGTTAACAAATATTAAATGAAGCTTAATATAATCTTATATTTTTTGGTTAACTAATTATTATTTATGATTAATCAATACCAAACTTTAACCAAGGAGTTGAGATATATTCTTGCTCGAATTATAAATTTTTCAAAATTTATTGAATAATAATATTCATAGTTATAATCTTGAATTATATTATCTTTTAAAATTAAAATAAAAATGAAATCATTTTTTGTATTTCAAATATTTCTATAAGTGCTCAGTGAAGCATAAAAAAATTAACGAGAAATTGAACAGATTAGTATTTATCCCACTTAAGGGGAGATTATGTAGGTGCCAATAGAAGGATTTTTGGAAGGTACTTTTTTTTCTTTTGAATATCGACCAAAATAGCCTTTTCTAAAATTAATTGATGTTTATAAAAAGACTTCATTTGCAAAAGGAGATTGTATTATTTATTAAAATTATATTTAGCTTACCGTTCAATATCCTCAAATGGAACACACTTTGCTTTGATTACCAATGATCAAAATATAATTGTCTATAGATGGGAAAATTAATAAATTGAATAAGTTGAACCAATATATGCTATATCAGAATAATGCTTTAATACTTTGTTTTCATATTAAATCAATACTATAATAGTTGATTGTTACTATTTAAACAATTTAGAAATAAAAGAATTATAATATGGCAATTAAAAGACACTTTATCAAACATAATCTTAACTTCCGATCAAAACAAAAATTAAATAAATTATAAATGGATCTAATTATTTCACAGTTTATGCTTAATTTTTTGAAAATTATTCAGTTCTTACATTATTTTCATTAAGGTTTGTAAATATAACATCTTGGATCAGTGACTTTATTGATTTTGATGTTTCATAAAAAGGTTTTAATGTTATTTATGTGCTTTCATTAAATCTCATCTAATAAATAAAAATTTCTGATTAATATACTTTTGAAATTAATGCTAATTCTTAAAATTTTAACTTTATGGATGGAAAGGTATAATTTTTTTCTGTCTATTATAATGACATCATAAATTCTTAATGTGATTAAATTATACTTGTATTTTATTCAAAACGTGACATCTTTATTCACAAAAATTATGGATGCTTAGATTCAATTTTAGATCCAAATGAATCCGGATTCGCTAAAATACCGATATAATAAGGATAGCCACTTTAAATTACATTCAATGATTAATTTTACTTAATTCAAATGGCAAATACGTTATTGATATCTCCTACCTTTTGGAAAGACCGTTATTTCATGGAAAAAATTAAAAATTCTAGTTTATTACATTTTAATACCAAAACAAATGAATTATTTATATTCGATAGGATAATTGAAACATTTCAATTAAATTTTCCTTATTTAGAAATAAATTTAATTTAGTATTAGCCTTAATTAAACACATTTTTAATTGAAATATATGCTAATGTTAATATTTTACCCATAATACCAAAGATTAATATAAAAATTTAAATTTTAAACTAAGATGATGCTAATGTTTATGTAATAACTTATAAAAACTTTGTATAAAACTTGCTATTATTGGGAAATTCATTATAAACCAAGTTATCTGGGTTTTCAGGATAATTACTTTAATACTAATCTAATTAGAATGATTTATAATTTGGCCAATTTATAAATGTAAATCTTTTAAAAGTGTATGATTTCTATCCTTTATAATTTGAATTTGCATAATTACTGAATACCATCTACTATTTTTAATCCATCTCCTTAGAAAATTTTGGAAACTATTTAGTTGGTATTAAGGACTAGATTTTAATATTTTATTATTGTTAGTAATATTCATATGATTTGTAGCAAAAAAAAAAATATAATTGCACAATTATTGATTAGACTCCAATTTTTGCTAATGTTTCATAATTATAAATTGGTTATAATTATTTCTCATATGTAGTGGCAGGAATATAATATCAGTAAGATATCTAAATATTCTAATTAAATTTTGAAAAATCAATATCCAATTAAACAATAAATCTTGAATAACAATTTACTCAGTATCTTATAAATTTTGATAATATTATTGGTTTGATAGAGTATAAAGAAATATAAATCATTTCATATACTATGAATAATAAAATTGTATTAAATGAAAGCCTTTTTCATGAAATATTTTAATTAACAAATATCTCTTTTTAACCAATTTAAATAGCATCAAATGTGCAATATTAATCTGCAATCTTATTCATCAATAATGTAAACAATGTTGTTATCGTTGCAATAAATGGAAATAATGATATTATTCCTAAAACAATAATTAGATGTTAATTTTAAATATCATCTCTAAATATAGTTAATCAAAAAATAATACTTTCTTATTAATGCAACAATCAAACTTCGTATTGTTTTTAGGTTTGGAATTTCAATAACATTCTTAGTCCTTTTTTTGAAAAAGAATTATTAAGCATTGAATACAAATATCAATTCAATTTTATGTCCGATAATTTATTTTTTTATGTCACTCTTGAAAACAAGACTATTTTTATTTATAATCCTTATTCATCAAGGCACATGTCTTTATTTAAAAAATTAGAGTTGGATTCTATTATTTTGAGCACAACAACTATTAGTTAAAGTTCTATATTATTTTATAATAATACTATTTTATTGTTATCATCTATAGAGTAAGAGTTATTTAAAGTAAATGAATCACTTATTTATCAAAATTACTACCCATTGATGATTTATAGATTTTAAGTAACTTCCTTATTAAATCCTTCTTCTATCTAATATACACCTTTATAAAGTCTTACTTACTTATCAAATTTTACAATACTATAAAATGTTACTTAATAAGAAGTAAGCTTAGATCCTGTAGATATCAATTTTTAACAGCATTCATTTATAAAACTGTTAAATATCTAAAGGTAAATAATAGGATGTTATTTGTTTGACCAAAACAGCAAGTGTTTTTTAAATAATATTAATTCATCTTTCCTTCTAACTTAAAACAATTTTTCCTTTACATTAATCACACCTATTAACAATAATTATTTCGTATTATAGAGTAATTTGCAAATTAAAATATTAAATAGTTTATTAGAATATAATTGTTCTAAAACTTATGATTATTCTAGTTATAATTTTTCAGAGTGCCTAATATCAACTTCAAAGGGAAATCAATTATTTTCTATATGTTAAAATTCCACTGGATAATATTATATAATATTTTAAATTGATTCTCTTGGATATGCAACTATTTATAAAATAAACTTACTTGCATAACAGTTTAACAAATTAATAAAGATATAATTTATTGATAATTATTGCTTCATTTTAGGTGATGACTAATTGTATTTATTGAATATCCAAAATGAAGAGTTTTTTCAGAGTTCCTATTAATGCGAAGATTTTTCTGCTTTCCCTTTATATTAGATAAATTTTATTGATAATTCATAATATGATATTATTGTGCTTATTTTCATTTCACATTACGAACTGTATTATTCAATAATGGTTTTGGGTGAAAATTAGTATTTTTAAAATAAAGTAGATCTAAATTATATTGAAGAAATTTTTAATGATAATTTTTAATTTTTATTCTCATATATTACTATCTTAGATATACAAAGATCTAAAATTTTACTTATAACCGGTTTTATTAATCAAACAAGTTGGATATTAAGTTTAGAAATCAACCTAGAAAAATAAATTTTAAGTTTTCATAATATAATTGGCACAATCCCACCATATGGTAATTATGAAATTCTTAAAAATATTCAATATTAACATGGCTTTTTGGCTATGTAATTAATTTATGGAAATTCTCAATTCATGATATTAATTTATAATCTATCTGATTTAACTAATTAAGAAATGAATCAACCTTTGTTAATTTATTAAAATTAATATAATTTATCTATTGCAAGTTTTGGGATGAACATTAATAAAGAATTTAAGAATGGAACAATTATTACTTTTAAAAATAATTCTATTTATTATTAGTTTATAAATACATATAGCATTACATGTAGATTTAGAAATAAGTAAACATAAATTAATGTAAAAATGATTTGCTATAACGATTTTTCAAGAGGAGAATTTAAATTTTAATATTAATTACCTAATTTGTAAAAAAAAAAGTAACACTGGTATTATATTCTGCTTTCTATTATTATCATTCTTTTAATAAGTTTTTATTTTTTGGTAAAATAGAAAACTAAAAGGATGCAATAACGTATTAGTGAAATAGAATTATGAATTAATCATCAAAAATTGTATGAAATTTAAATTCAGTATTGTTATAAATTTTAGAATAAATTAAATAATATTTAAGGTGTGAACTAGTTAATTATTCAATTTTAAAAGGCATTTATCTAAGATCTTGAATTCTGTATTCTTTACTTTAATTTAACAAATTTCATATCAGTTTTAAGGTTTTGTTGATTATTATCAATCTTTTTTTTATTATAATTGCAGAAATTGCAGAGTTGAAAAAATATATATAAGTATTAGAATTATTTCTATGTTATTGATTGAAATATATATTTTTGTTGAATATTCAATTTAATATTTGAATTATCTTTAATTGTTAGATTATGTATAGTTCCTAAAAATATTGAAAAATATTTATTATCAAATTGTAATTCTTAAGAATTAGAATTCAGCCAATTGTTTAAATAATCTTCCTTTTTAATTATATATAACTTAAATACTTTATTTTTAAGTCATATCAATAGCCCTAATATTTCATAAAAATCAAAGAGATTATATTAATTTAATTTTAAAGCAGAAACAATAAAGCTGGCATCAAATCTCACTATAAAGCATTTTTTAGAAAAAATTTTAGTATTCTTTATGTATTCTAAAGTATTTGCAAAAGAAAATGATTCAAAAAGTTTTAATTTTCTGAATCCTCTATAATTTAAGGAAATTATTCTAATATTTCAAGTTCTAATTTTTATTCATAAATCTTGATGTTCTTTTATTTGTCATCTTCAAAATTCTAACATAAATTGATTTACATTTTTGAGCATTCTTCAATCATAGCATTCATTAATTAATATAATTTTATATAATTTTAAATCAGAAAATTAATGATATAATAACTACAATATTGATTTACACAGATTAGATCTGATCGGCTTAATTATAAGATAACTCTATTGAATTACAATCAGGACAGTATTATATATAATTTCCTACTAAAATATATATTATAACTTCTCATTTGTCAAATATTTTGATATGTTTCCATCTTTATCTGTATATAATGTTGTGTTATACACATTCCAAACATGTGATGAAATAATTATTCATTATTGATAGACTTTTAAATTATAAAATAATACCATTTTCTTGCATTCATCATTTAATTAAAAAAGCCATATTGAAATTATTTTTTTTATGGTTATTCTTAATTACATTTAGATACATATTTTATTAATAAATGTAACATAAAAATCACACATATAATAATAGTTTATCTATTCTTAATAGTTTATTATAATTTATCGAACCAAAGGTTAAAATTATTGGAGCTTTTAGTATAATCTTTACCTGTATGGAATTAGAAGTTAAATAAAATTATATTTTTTGTTTAATTTTTATATTGAAAAAAATNATAATTTAAGGAAATTATTCTAATATTTCAAGTTCTAATTTTTATTCATAAATCTTGATGTTCTTTTATTTGTCATCTTCAAAATTCTAACATAAATTGATTTACATTTTTGAGCATTCTTCAATCATAGCATTCATTAATTAATATAATTTTATATAATTTTAAATCAGAAAATTAATGATATAATAACTACAATATTGATTTACACAGATTAGATCTGATCGGCTTAATTATAAGATAACTCTATTGAATTACAATCAGGACAGTATTATATATAATTTCCTACTAAAATATATATAAATAATCATATGCTATTAGATTTTCTGTAACATTATATTTTGTTTTAACTGTTATTAAAGCCAGATCTGAAAGGAAAATTCATTAAAATTGAAATCAGGTTGAATTAATTTGCAGTGGAAAACAAATATAGCCAGCTTTTGGCTAAATAAAATTTCCAAGTCTAGTTCTTTAAAATTACTATTCATTTTTCTTTAATAACATGCTAAAATCCAAAAAATTAAACAAAAATAACATAAAAATCACACATATAATAATAGTTTATCTATTCTTAATAGTTTATTATAATTTATCGAACCAAAGGTTAAAATTATTGGAGCTTTTAGTATAATCTTTACCTGTATGGAATTAGAAGTTAAATAAAATTATATTTTTTGTTTAATTTTTATATTGAAAAAAATATGTAGTTTTAAACTGGTGGTTTACGCTTATTTTTTCAAATCTGTCCATAAACTACAAAATAATTATAATTAAGAGAGTTTTCAAATTAATAGTTTCGTATTTCTTATAGGAAAATATATGTGGGATATTAAGTTTACAAATTTATAGTGCACACTTTTATTTTTTATATCATTACGTTAGTTTTAGTTCTTATGTTTCTGTATTTTGATAAAGATTAATAATTAATAGAGGATCTAAGTTCACAATTTCTTATTCCCCCTTGTTATATAGATCTTCTAGCTCTTCACTCATAAATGATTTGGTTATTAATTTTTTTTTAATTTTGCATTAAGATTATTTATTCTGCCTTTCCATTTTTTGTTTCTTCTATCAGAATAATTTCTATAATTTATATTTCCATGATATGGATTCTATACAACTTTATTTCAAGTAATAATATTGAAATACTCTTAATAAGTCAAAAGGAAATTGGTATTCCATTGAAAATTGAGATCAAGTGATTGAATGTAGAAAAAAAAATAGAAGGGCCTCTGAATCACAGTCTTAAAGGGTAACACTGTCTGTATTTGGAAGGGTGTCAATGTAGAAGCTGCTAGATTTTCAGGAATACGAATTAAAGTTCAAAGTTTGAAATTGTAAGGAATCTGAAAGAGTAGGCATGATAACATAAATTGTAGAGCTGAGAAATTCATTTACGGCCTTTTACTGATGCGCTTAATAGCAATATAATTTTGATGTGACCTACAATGTAAAATCAAATTAATTATAAATATATAAAAATTGATTTTATGATATTTTTCGACTAATTTAAGAAATAAACATAAACTATATCAGTAAAGAACATCTATTTCAGATAAATAGTCTTTAACAAGAAAGTATAAAATTACAAGAACTTCCACATCATCATAAAACAAAAAAATAATTTATTCAATAAGATAGAAATTAAAGATATCTTAACTACTTGTATATTAGTCTACTATAAAATAAGGCAATTTATAAGGAAATGAAAACAATAGTATAGAATTGAAAAAAATCATATTAAATTTCTGAAAATGAAAAATAACCAATGTTACTTAATTCTCAAACATTTTAATTTTGAATAAAAATAAAAAGGTGAGATATTAAATTTAATAGCGTCTCTCTCATTAATTAGCTCAAATATGTTATTAATGATATTGATACATCTAATAATATTACTGTGAATTTTAGGTATTGAATAAAATCAAATCTTTATTCAAAACTCATTAAGATAAATAATTGTGTTCAATATTTTGAATGATCAACATAGTTAATCTAGCCTTGAGAATTTAATTTTGTGTATAATAGTTAAGTCCTAACTCAATCTTTATAGTTTTCGACCTATTTAAGAGAAAAATATTTGAAAGAGTTTATTAGCTCAAGTTTAATTAAAGTATAAAATAATTCTCAATTTTTGTTTTAATATTATATCTGAAAAAAGCAAAAATAAATTAACAGGATTTGTCGGTTAAAGATTAATTGAGAAAAATTGGACTAAAGATACGAGATTAATAATGATTTAATCTATGTTGGCTGTGAGTGGTAATTAAGTCTATACTTCTCCTATATGTTGAGAATTCTTGGGGGGTTAACCTATTGATCAAAACATAAATTGTCGAGAGTAGAGTAACCTTTAGGAATAAATTAAAATTCCCTAAATGGTTCTAGTGTATTTTACAAATCCTAATTCCAAATCTAAATAACAAAAATAGAATCCTACATGCAAATTAATAATCCTTCATAAGAAATCTATATTACTGAGTCAGAATTAATCGGAAACATCTTAAATCAAAACTTGCTACCTGATGGATATAATTAAGATGATCTAAAAAGTAAGTGGTTATGGAATTAAGTAAAGCAACTAGAAATGTTTATATTCATTCATATGGTGTATTTTCCAGCCTTGCACCGCAAATTAATCGAGTGCCTTAATAAAAAAACTCTGTTGGTTCTATTTGCCTCATAAGATGAAATGATAATATTCTACTTGTAAAATCTATAGTTTGGATTGTAAGTAATAGTATTTGTTCTGCTAAAACATATATATCTATTGAAATAACAAAAAATTATCAAATAATAAATTGTTAATATTTATTATACCTAAGACGAGATTTCAACTTAGATCAGTTTAGTAAAAATGATTAAAATATTGATAATAAAGAATAACTGATACAGGTAATTAATTAGCAGGAAAATGAGGTTATAATATAAAGATAGTCATAAATCATTACAATGCTAGCTGAAATGTAGATGAAAGAGTAAAAATATAGAGCTACCTTTTTAATCCCTCCTTTAATTATATAGAAAACTACTTCAGAGACTAATAGGTTTATATAAGACCATGTTAAGGTAACTAAGAAAGGTGTGTTAATGGAATTATAACCATATCATATGGAGAATTCTAAGATAAAACTAGAATGTTTTGATAGAATTTCAACTTTATCTTCAAATTTATATATTTTAGACTTTGAATCATATTCTTCTAAATCCTATTCAATTGTCTATACTCTTGAATGAATGTTAATTAATATTTTATCAATTACATCTTCAATTTAAACTTTAAATTATTTTATCAGACATTCAATTTATTTCAAGTTTTCTATTCTTATTTAATTTTCCTTAATCTTTAATGTTTATTATTCACTTTTCATTTCCTTAATCATAATTTAAGTCTCATCCATTAAAGCAATATTTTAGATATCAATTTTTTCTATTAGACATTTTATACATAGATATTTATCTTCTTTAGCAGTTGATTACTTTAAATCAATTGTTGTTATCTCCAATTAATGTTTAGAACAAACCTTTCTCTCCTCTTTAAATGACATATTTTTTTTAATAAGATATTTAATTTTATATATTTAATCAAACCATATATATATTTACTTTTATAATCTTAGAAATCTCATTTATATTCGCAACCATTTATGGTATATAATTGAACATTAATTATATGTTGTTACTTAATATTACAAAATTCATATTTAATCTAATTTTTAAAGAAACATATCTTTAAAGTTATTTTTTAAAGTTTAGAAAAAATAATTTTCAAATTCATAAACATTATTAATGATATAACTAGTTTCTTAATTTATTTGATGAAAAATCATTATATGTCATTTATTTTATTAAATTGTCGAAATGCAATTTTAGATTTTAAAGGATATCTAATATTTGGTGACTATTGAAAAAAAGATTATTAGGCGATTTGTATTTTTAATTATTGTGAAATATAGAGAATTCCAGTCTAGAAATTTATTTTATTTATAAAAAATGATAATAATTCTATAATTGAGTTTTCAAAAATAAATTTATTTATTTATTTGTTGGTAATTTATGATCTCTTTGAATTTTTGCTAAATTTGGTTAATAATTAAATAAGAATTAAATATTAAAACATCAATCCATTAACTCTATGAATAAGTTACTACTTATCTATCCAGTTGACTCTTAAATTGTATAGGTCTTTGGACCAATTTTTAATATACAAGCCTTTTTTTATTATTATTTAATTTTGATTTAAATATTTAGCTAATGAATAATTTATACAGAAAATTTTACTATATTTAATTAAAAATATGAAATCTAAAGATAAAAATAGTTTCAATTGATTTTTTAAGTTAAGATTAAAAAAATACTTATTCATCAATAATCACATTTTATTACTAATTTTTATCTAATTTAATCACCTTAAAATTCATATATTTGAAAAAACTCAATAGATGTAATTCTGCTATTAAACTCTTATATAATATTTAACTTTAATTATATTTGAAGAAAAGCCTAGTAGTTATATTGCAGATATTAAAATATATTTTTATTAAAGTAAACTTATTTTGTTATATTGATTAAAAAATTCTTTCAATTTTAAAAGTTAGGTATGGGAAATTATTCTCTCACAATTTTATCGATTAAAGAATTCTTTAGCTTTAATCTAAAAATTTTTAGTAATTATAGTAATGTTATTAAAAATGCAGATTACTTTCATGCTCATCTAAATAACATATTAAATGACAGATTACATTATTATTAAAAGACAATTTTCAAATGAATTTAGAATTGGAAATTATAGAAGCAGCATATTATTGAGGAAATCAGCAGAATCATATCTAAAGAAAATCAGGTTTGAATATTATCATATATTTATTACTAAAAGTAACAATTAGCCTTTTTTTATTTAAGCAATTAGAAATTACTGATATTATGACTTAATTCTTAAAATTAAGAATATACTATTTAATATGAATGATATTTCAATTTTATTAAAAAAATAAGTTCTCTCTAATAATTAAGCCTTGTTTTTGAATTCTTAAATTTTTCAGAATAATTAAATAAAAAGTAATCTATTTTCTTGAAAAATCATAATATATATTATAGCCTATCATTATTTGGATCTATATTGTCATATTGTGATAATTTTATATCTATTTCGAATTTTGGAATCAACATATTTAGCAACATATTACTCTCTCATGACAAAGTCCTTTTTATAAGAGACCCGCAATTGACTATTATTCATGGTTTCCGATATATTTGTCTTTTGATAAAATCTTGCCTAATTAGTAAATTTCTAAAAGTATTCTTTCAAGATCCTTATTTAATAATGTTTCGATTGTCTCAGGTACTCTTAAATATTATGAAAAAGCTTTGTGTGTCAGAATACTTGAAGATTAGATGGGTTAATTTGTGTGGATTGAAACTGGTTAGTTTCAAGTTGAGTAAACTATATGATTAAAATTTCTCTAAGTAAGTTGAAGGTCTTATTGATGATGCTTTGGCTCTTGTACATTTCTGCTCAAGCACTTCAATATATGAGGAGAAAATGAATTTATAGTTTTTTTCCAATATGAATCAGAAGGTTTGAAATCCAATTTCCCATTAAGTTAAGATTCAAAAGTAATTGAAGAAAGGTGAAAAAAAGTGAGTCATATTTTCAATACAATCTAATTTAATTTTAATTTATAACTTTTATGATTATTAATTAAATTTTTTATTTATTTGAAATTTTTATGATGCTCACTAGAATTCTCCAAATTTTTCAATAAAAATTATATAACAATTGATAATATTGAACAATAATAAAATATTAGATTCATATTTAATGAATTTAAGCATATAATTTCAGAAATATTAATATTTATATAATCCAACTCAATATGAATGATTTTAGAAATTTAAATATAGTATACTTACGAAAATCATATTTATTCAAAAATATACAGTTATTCTTAATTTGGATAATCATTATTTAAGTAATAGATTTGAGATTCATTCTCTAATTTGATCTTTAAAATTAGCTATTTACCTATTTAATTGGAGTATATTTATTTATTACTATAGAGAAACATTATTTAGTGATATGTTTTGTTTTACATATATTTTTTTAATTAATGATGAATCGTATAATTTTAATTTTAATGTGATTTTCAAAAAATTGTATATATTGTTGTAAAGATAAATAGTATCAGCTCATTATCATTTATCATATTTAGGTGAAGAGCTTTATTAAATAAATAATGAATACTAGCTTAATTTTGAAGAATTTACTTTTAGAATTTGATCCAATAAACATTATTAATACTTTAGTTCATAAAAATGCTACTAATTTTTTTATGTTTAAAAGTGTATAATCTTAATATAAATTAACAGTGTGAGATGGATTTAACTCATAATCTATAATAAATAAATTAGTATCCTTCAAAAATTTGATACACTTTTATTTCATACCTTATCTAATAATCGATTATTTTTCCACATCATTAAAGTAAAAATCTTAAAAATATGTTTCTAGTATATTTAATTATCTTTTTCCAATTAATACATAAAAATAATTACTTATCATATCTTATGTTATCTTTATTTACAACAATTATTTATTGAAAATGTAACAAATTTTAGTTTTAATTTTTGAGAAATATAAATATTAGAGCACTATTTTTAATAGTTTGAAATCTAAATTCAACCTAATTATATTGAGTACTTAATTCTGTTTTAAGACTTACTTTTTTAGTCAACATTTAAGAAATTATACATTTAAGAACAAAAATTTGTGATTTGGTGACACAATTATATAATTTTATTTTAGATCCATCTTTTGATTCCCTAACAGTGGCAAAGGTATTGCCATAATATAGTTAAAAATAAATTAACCAGCATAAATTCGTTTTTCTATAAACAGAATTTGAATAAATTTGAAATAATTTAATATCTTGAATTTTTATTAGGCTGTGCAAATTTAATTGCTATTTATTAAAGGAAAAATTGTATTAAATAATACACAGTAAAATAGATTTATTTTTTGATATTAAATGGTAAAATTAAATTACTCATGTGATATGAATAAAAAATTATGCTCAATAAATAACATCTAACTAATTTAATTAAATAATAAATAATAATTCTTATAAGTATGAATTAGACTCGGAACTATAGATATTATGTTCTAGAACATGATTTTATCCTATAATTTGCATGCTATCGAATTCATATACAATAGTGTTTATATCATCTATCTTAATCCAACCAAAAAATAAAATAATTAAAAAAATCTTTTTTAAAAAAGAAATAGAAATTTTTCTTTTATTTCAACCACTTAATCATTTATATTAGTATTTTAGCTCTCTAAACATCTACACCTATCCATGTTACTGCCCAAGATGAAAGAAATCACAATATCGCAATATTGTTATTCTGATATTCAATAGTTTTGAAAAATGAGAACCATAATATTAAAAGTTAATACTATGAATTTACTTAGAAAAAAACAAAATTTAGATTAGCTTGATCTTAAATTTTTCTATGCAGCATTTTATTATATAGTATTTGTTGAAAATGAAAATCATAATATATGAATTTGATTTAATATTAAAAAAGAAATAAAAAGAACAATACCTCGTGAACTTATAATATAGCTAGAATAAATTTGACTTGCTCTCTTTATATATTTTTATTATTTGATTTTGAAATTTCAGTTTTTCTATATTCTCAATTGTCATTTTAATATACTCATATATTCCCAATCTCCCCTGAAACATTAAAATAATCTACCCCTCTACAGCAAATTGTTTAATTTTTGACCTCGCAATTTCTCCTTTCAAAGAACTAATCTTATTGTCTAGAGATCTTGTCATTGACAATCCTGAAGCATAAATATCATAAACCAGATTTTAAATGTCCTATTAGATTTTTACAAAAATCTATATTTTTTATTTATAAAAAACCTTTGATTAAACTACTCTATCATTTTTATTTTTCTCAGTATCTTCAAATGCAAAAATCATCATTCTGAAGGTCAAGATTTGCTGATTAAATCAACGCAATAATTTATATTGCTCTTGAATCTTTTGGTTATTTCTAATATGAAATGTTTTCAATAGGAAGGCTAAATTAAATATTTTTATGAATGTTTATATTATCATAATTATGTGTCAATTTGCTTGATATCTATGAGCTTGACTTCTTTTTTCTCATAATTGAATAATATTTAATACACTTTACAATCAAGATTTGATATTATAATTATCAATTCTTAATGTGCCTAAGTTGTTGGGAATAGTTTAATTGAGAAATTAATTGTATTTATTGCCCCGTAGCAATTATGCTTAAACTAGTGTATTAACCTTGTAAACATTCATTACATTTATTTAAATAACTTTAAATAGATTTATTTGTAAAGCATTTTGCATAAATCTTTATGTTTATTATTTCATGACTTTTATCAAGAATTATTGAAAATTTGTCTTAAGTATTGAATATTTGTGTAGTTTCTAAAATTTCAACTTCAAAAGGATTTCTAAAATCTGCTTGTTTTTCTTTTATCTATGTAATTCTTAGAGTTCTACACTCTAATGCTGTATAAATGGTTGTAAATTAATACTTGAGCCATGCTGGCTGGGGTATAATACTGCCCATATAAAAAATACACATGAATTAGTTGTATCATTATTATATTCTTATACTATTTTTTTTCAAATGACTAGCAGAATACCTGAGATTTCGTACTGCATAAATATTACAGTTAGAGTAATTTATTAGAGAAGAAATCAAACATGGAATAAATATTAGAACTCATAGATTCTTTATATAGTTTTAATAGTATTATCATTAAATGTTCAACTACCTAAAAAAAATATCCAAAAATAGATGCTCCCTCAACCATATTTTTACAATGATATGTTTTTAATGTTTTTATCTTAAGCCAATATTGGACAGATTTCTTTATTTTTGAATATTCTGAATTACTCTATTGTGTATTTGCTAAAATATGGTTTAAAATTGTCATCAACATGAAGTTCATAAATAAATCTGAGATGTTATTATATTCATCTTTATTTATAAAGTGTGAGAAAAGAATATTATGTTTTACAATTAAATTAAAAATTGAACATTAGCAAATTTATTATCATTTTTCCAATTTAAAATTAAATAAAGGGTCTTTTGAATGAACATGATATAATTTTATGAATTTTGATTACTCTCGTCTATTGGAATCTAAAGAAATTTGCTTGTAGCATAATTTCAAAGAATATTATTTTGTTATAAAAACTGAATGATTTTTAACAGTAATCTATATAACTGTTAGCCTTATTTCAAAGATTTTTATCTCTCTGAAAAAGATCTACTTTCTGTATAAACTTTAATGATTTTTCTAAATTTAAATACTTGATAGCCTTTTCAATTTCATTAATTGTCTATTCTTTACAGTCAACAACACTCAAAAAATAGTCCAAAAGAAATCATAATAAATTATCGAAATCTTTCTGTCAAATTTACTAGATTGATTGTATAAATTCTAACTCCAAAATAATTTCTCAGGAATTGGAATTTCATTTTTAAATTTGCAAATGTTTATTACAAAATGAATTTTTCTTCATTATCAGTGTAGAATTGATAAATATTTATTAATTAATAAAAATAATGATTTTACTACATCTCCACAATCACAAAATCCAAATTTTAAATAATCATATGTCACTACATGATCTAATGTAAGAATGAAAATAGTAATAATTTATTGTTTTTCTGGCATAAAGCATTCTTAACAATAAACATGATTAGGCTCTTTACAACAATCAAAACATTAATAATATTAAGTATTATTACTTAAAGTTGCTGAGCATATTTTGTTATTTCCTGTATCTTTTAATTAAATTCTACTATTTTGAAATTCATTATCTGAAAGCGCTAAAACATGTTATACTAATTAGAAATCCTTCATATTCTCTTATATTTGAGCTTCATTCAAAATTATATTATTAATCTATTTTTATATATTCTTAAATAATTTATATTAAATAGATTATAATATTAAAACTAATACTTTTTTTTATAATAGAATTAAATGAACATTTTCTCCAAAAAAATATTAATAAAATTCATTATTTTCTTTACAGATTTTGTATAAGTTTTTAAAAAAATGGACTGAAGCTAATACTTATATCAATGATAATACACAAGATATACAACGTGAATTACTTGCAGTTATTCTTTCAAATGAATAAAGTTTTTTAAATTGGGAAAATTCAAAAACTAATTTTAATCTACGTATGGATAGTTCGTTCTGATCAAGAATTAAGTTTTAATGTTTTACTTCTGGAAAGGAACCTACACATTTTATTTGTAAAAATTGCTTTATACCTAAATTACATAGTAGATAATATATATATATATTCATTGGATCATTAGTGTATTATTGATGTAAAAATAAGGGATTATGTGATTGTGGTATCAAAACTCTAATTTCAGATAATGGGTTTTGTTCCAAAATTACTGATAAAATTAAAATAAATAAGGAAAAAAAATTAGTAAAATTCCTATTGATACATAAATAATATCACAATAAGTTTGCAACCACAAATTTGATTGTAAGTTTGGGCAAAGGAATTTAAATGAGGAATTAATCTAATTTATTGAATAATTCAATTATATTAGCTGATATTATTTACTACCTTCAAGATTAAGCAACATATTATACTGCAATTTACACTGGTTTAAAGACTCTATTCAGTAATTAATATAGTAATGAAATATTTGAAAAAAACATTATCATATTACTTTTAAATTAACTTACTTCATCTTAAAATCTTAAAGAATATGATTAATATCAATTAGATAAATATTAATTCTTCTTAATCTTAAATATAAGATTTGTTAACTATTAAAAATGGGTATGATAATATGGAAATTTTTTATTTCTTATTTATCTTATATATATTGTGTTACCTAGTTTGAAAATGGAAAATAATTCTTACATTGCTTAATTGATATTTTAAATGTAGATTAATAAAATTTTGAAAAAATACTCAATTAATTATTAAAAGAAACTTTTTATGTGCATTTGATTATTCAAGTGAATTAAGATTAACAGATAAAATCTGTTTATTAAGGAAATGATAATCATACAGAATATTCTAAATTTCATAGAATTGACACTTGTCTTATTTAATTATATATATTTTTATTTGATGTTAAATGTATCCTCAAGTGTTAAAAATACGATGGAAGAGTTTTATTAAATCTAAAATGGTACAATACTTTAAGAATTAACAAAATAGAAGTATCAAAATTGTTAATAATTGTTTATTAATTTAGTCTTAACAATTATGATCTTTATAACGTATGCTGCCCATTATTAATTTGATTAACAATTGAGTTAAAATTATCTTTAGTTAGAATAGTAGGTAATTACTTTAATATCTCAACCTTTATAGAATATGGAGATATTTAGGAAATACTTTGGAGTTTTAATTACTTCAAATTTTTCTAACCACATATTATCAATATGTGAAGTTGATTAGACATCAAAAAATTAAAACTCAAAGGAGTATATCAAATATTTTATGAACCTTGTTTAATATAGAATTAACCATAATTGTAAACTCAAATTGAAGAAAAATTGTTTAAGTAAAAAAAATCAGATAGTGAAATATGATTAGGAAATTAGATTACATGGGAGAGTTTTAATGCAATAAGTATTAAAGATTTATTGACATTTTGAAGTATTTTTGAGAAATCTAATTTATTAATGAAAAAGGACTATTTAATACTCTAGATAAGCTATCTTATTTATGTTCAACTTACTAATTTGAATTAATTTGATTAATAGTTTTTTAAATAATATTTTGAAATAGTAATAGTTTAATTGAAAGAAATATAATAAAATATTTATGTAAAATAGAAGTAAAAACAATAAATCAAAGTACTTATTTAATCAATTAATGAATTAAATCAAAAAATACATAATGAACAATAATTAAAAATAAAGAAAATAGAAATTTTAAAATTTAATAAACTATAGTCATCAAATTTAGTATAGGAGATGATTAATGAAACAGAGTAAAATGAAATTTTAGTATAGGAAGAAGATCTACATGTAAACTAGATTTTACAACTGAAAATAATATGGGAATGATGTATATTTATTGGAAATCTCATACTGAATTTTTGATGAAACACATCAAATGCTTAAAGATGAAATGTCATTTGATTTCGATTTGGGAATATAAACTTTTAAACACTACTTTCATGATAAATGCTTGACTTAAACCTTTGATAGTTATTAAATTATGGATTAAGAACATGGGTATGGGTTTAATTAACATAAGTTTTATTGTCCAATATGTAAATTACATACGAATTGTAGATATCCAATTTCAAAAATTGACAATCACAAAGTTAATAGTTTTAATTCAGATTTAATTTTCATTTATTCTTAAATAAATATGGATGATGAATTTGAAGATGAATTACATTCGTAAATTAACTTAGTTAAAATTTACATAAATCTATTTTATGATTTGCTGATCTAATTATTTATTAATCCTTAAAATTATAGAAAAGCTAAAAAAAATATATTATTTAATCAATTATTTTGTTGCTTTTATGAAACAATTTAAGATATGAATTAATAGGATATAGAAGCATAGCAATAATTACAAAATATTCGATAGAAAAATAATTTCTGATTGAATATTTTGACTTCTATATATGAAATGTATGTGAAATAGTGTAGTTTGAATTAATTAAGATTATCTATTATTGAAATAATTAGTTAATATTAGTTAATTAAATAAGGAAGAAATCTCACTTTTAATTAGTTCTTTTGGCATAGAAGAATAAATTATGGTATAAGAATTAAAACAAAACACTAAAAAAATTATACATGACACATAAACCATTTAATATTTTTTAAATACTTTGTGAGAAACATTTCTAAAATTTCATAGTAAATATTTTTGTAACAAATGTTGTTTATGCAAATTTTATAATCTTAAAAAAAGTAAAATTCAGGAGTTTCCATCTGTTTACTATGTAAAGATATATTTTGCAATGAGTCTTGTTCCTTATCTATTAGAGACCTCTTAAATTATCATGTAGAAAAGAGGCATCATGGAAATTCAATATTTTTGAGCCTTTAAGATGGTTCAGTTACACTAATTAGTTAATCAACTTCAATTAAAAAATTTAAATATTTGTATTATAATAATTTAGGTGAAAAAATAAATCTCGAGAATCTTAATTCAGACTGGAATTAATACATACTTGATATCACTAAAGATAAAGAATTAGTAGACATAATTGTTAATAATAAATATCGTAAAATAATTAAGAGTTAACAAAAAGGCAAAGCAATTTTCTTTGAACATGAATAATTTTTGAGACTTGATTATTTTATAAGATAATATTTTAATTAGTTAAGCAATTATTATTCTTAATATAATTTCAGTCATTAATTACTTTACTGTTTAGAAGCCTTGGTTTCTACAAAAGTTATATATTAGGTGACTAGTTCATGTACTTATTCTGATGTTTATTCTTGTTAAGCACTCTTCACTGTACTTTGATAAACTTATGTTGCTACGAATAAAAATATAAATAGAACACCCAGCAAGAAAGAGGACTAGTAATTCTAAGAAGGAATTAGATTATTAAGAGAGATCCTCAATGTTTGAATAATTTGATTATCAATATATAATTCCTATAAAAAAGTTATTTTATTATTTCTTCAATTACATCTTATCCTGTTCATAATCATCTCCATTAGAATTATCAGTACTGTATTTAATCTATTTAATAGTCTTAAGAAGGTTAGATCGAATCACATCAAACTATGGGAAATATTGGTTTAAGTGTATCAATCATCCTAAAACCCCATAATATATTACTATATATTAATTAAATAATATCCAAAATGAGCTAGACCATATTTAATTTCTGATCCCGATTTATCAATAAGGCTTTCTGGTTGAATTAATGTGAGCTTTTCAAGACTTGATACAAATAAATAAAAAGTATAAGCCTTTATATTAATGACTATTAGAATTTACAAAAATAACTAAATAATAACATCTGATAATCTTTAAGAATAAATACAATTTCATAATTAAAAAATTTCGACTACATTGAGTAAATTAGATTATTCTTATACAAAATCATCATAATATATTGATCAAAAGTATAATTGATAAATATATTGATTAAAATTAAATAAATTATATTCATTTTAATTTAAAATGCTTTAAGAGGATTTAAAAAAAATAATATATCTCTATAAAAAGTAAAAGTATAAGAAATAAGTGATAAACAAGTAATTATCTAAAATAAATAAGAAAAATAATAGTTTTTTTATGTAAATACATAAAAAGATTAATAAAATGAAAAAAAGAGAGTACATTATTAATTTTTGTATAATCTAAAGGAAATTAAAGCATAAATTAAAGATATTAGAACCTAATGTAAATATTAGTTTAATATATTAACATTTTCAACCAGTATTGAGTTTTCATTGTATAAAAAATTATATTAAATTCAAATGCTTAGATGTTTAATTCTTTACTAATACTTTGAGAATTATATAAATAAAGCTCATATTTGAATATAAATATTCTAAATTTAATCTTCTTAAAAAAGAATGAATAAAATAAAATATTTAATAATAAGAAGGTAAATTTATAAGAAATTTATTCAGAAAAGTATAATATAATCTTACGATTATATATTAAATGATTAATATTATGTTATTCATTTTTGAACCATATCATTTGTTAGAATTAAAGTATGAATTTATGAATAAATTTAATTTATAAATCCAAATATTTGTCTAAAATAAATTATTTAAACAAGATAATGGGATGCTCCATCCAAAAAAAGGAATCAATTTAATCTTAGTTAAAGATGTCAAAAGAAAAGTCTTTATATAATTTTTTATGAAACAATGATCTAAACCTTTAACGATAATAGTAAATATCAATCCAAAAAGTTATTTTTAACAAAAAAAGAAATTAAAAATTGTCAAGCCTGTTTAAATGTGATTAGCAATACAAATTTTATCAAAAGTTGATATCACTTAATTTTTGACCTTGATCTTTGATATTCTGGATATATGATGAAATTTATTTATTTATTTCCTTGTATATAAATTTTAGTCATAATTTATATACAATAAATTTTTAATTTAATTATATATTTCTTTTATAAAAGTGTTAGAAATATATTTATTTTTATAGAATAATATATGTTAGAAGAAACTTCAGAAGAAAAGCTATTATTGTCTCTCCTTCATCAAAAAGTTTTGATGAAAAATGAAATTTAAAATTAAATTGAATAATCAAGGATGATATGAAATTAAATTATACTATATTTGTTTTTATATATACTAATTTCTTTAAATATAACAATTTTATTGGAATATTACCTTCTTTTGAAAATTACCATGATAGTTTTTCAACTTATTTGGTTTTTTCTTTAATATTACTAAAACTTTTAGTAAATTCTTTGTATTAATTAAGACTATGTGCTTCAATTAATTATTTAATTCCTATTTTTAAGTTATTTAATTATGAATAATTTAACTTATCAAAAATATCAAATTAAAATGTATGCAAATATATATAATATATTATTATCTATTCCTAATTTAATCATTTGATCCATCAATTAAGCTATAAATATAGGAATCTTATTTTTAAATTCAATTCTCTACCAATTTTTATTGGCATCAATCATTATTTCAAAAGCAGATGTTAATTTAGTCCTTAAATTTTCTAGGTTGTCATTGTGTTGCTAAATTATTTCAAAATATTATCTAGCAATCTCATTTATCATTTTCTTCTTTTTGATTAATTTATCTTCTTTAAGACCCATACTCTCAGATACTTAAAGTTTCTTATCCAAAAATTTTTAACATAAGAATCTTTCCTATTTAATTTATGATCAATAAGAATAAGAGATCTACTTGTGCTTTTCTAAATACTTAAATTCATTCTAATTTTCAGAAATCTAGAAATCTTGCATATTATTTGAATTAATTGTTCAATATGATAAAAAAAATTAGTTTATATGCTATATAAATAATAGATGACCTATTTATTTTACTAAATATCTTAAAAATATATTCTATTTTATTGATAAATTCTAAGATTCAATCTTTTCTAAATACATATCTAACAATTCAAAATTCTATAAGAATAAAACTTATTATAAATTTAATTGAATCTAAATTATATATATTTATATTATATATTAATTTGAAGATTATGAAATTTTTTTTCTATAATATTCTTTTCATTTAATAAACAAGAATTTGTTATTATTTTTCAGATATCAAAGGTTATTATTTTTTCGCTAAAGTATATATACACAAAACCACAAAAATTACGTAATAGATTCTTATTTATTATTAAGACTATTTAATAAATATTAGAAATTAATGGATAAATTATTAGTGATGAAAAAACTTGTAATTGTTGAATATATTTAGTAAAATATCAAAAGTTTATCAGGAGAAATATTGTTATTTTGTGTAGAAGAGCATGCAAATGCCTGTATTCATAGTTCTGGATGCATTTTATCTGTGAATTGATCCAGAATATTTCTCCATCCTTTTTTGAGGAGTTGATTTTCTACTTAACTAAAGAATTTTTTTTCAGAATTTCCATTGGTTTATTTTAATAATTTGTTAAATAAAAGCTCAACTAAATAAATAAAAAATAAATTTTACAATAACCAATATGAAGGAAATAATTTAATTTCTTTAATATTCTAAATAATTATTTTTATAACAATTTTGACCAGAATTTTAAGTTAATTATCTTTTTTCTCTTCTTATTCTAAGGTTACTAGTAATTTGGATAAAAATGTTAATAATTTTAGACATATTATAGGTTGGCTTGTAGTTTATATTATTTAATTAATTTAAAATTTGATAACAATGAAGGTATAAATTTCAGAACAAAATCAATTTCACTAATTACTAATTTTATTTAAATAGAAAGCTTTAATTAAGCAAATTACTTTTATTAATAATTAATTGAATAATCTGATCTGGATAATCAAAAATATGGAATTTTAGATTATTAATCTTAATTGATTTTAATAATACCATATAATAATTTTAACTACATTAAATTAATACCATTTAGCTTTGTTATATAATTTCAATCGAAATCCATTATTTAGAAAATAACCAATGTATAATTAACATTTAATTAAAACTAAGAAATTTGATTTTTTATTCATTTTAAGACTAAACTGCCCAATTTTATATCTTCTGATTCTCACATTATTCAAAATATTAAATATTAAAATTTGATTATGCTTCTGATTATATTAATTCTTATCATAGAAGGTTTTGGATGGAGACAATACAACATATGGTCATTTGATGCTCTAGGTTTCGCAATTGAAGAAAAGAATTGTCCTAAATTACATGTATTTATGGCAGGATTGCATCCATATAAATGTGTCTGTAGATATTAGCTTTATTAATAGCTTATGCTTCTATTTGTAAAGGTGTTACAGAAGTATAAATAAAAACTGGAGGAGATGGAACTTAATATTAATGTGATCCCAAATTTTAACCTTGGGGAGCAGGGAATCCAACCCTAGACAAATATATGGTTCATTGTGGATATAATCCTGGCGTTTAGTTAGTAATCGAGTAGCTACCTGATGAAAGCTATAAATATTATTGTAAATGTAAGTATAAATTTCTAATATTATTTTAGATTTCTCTAGTTATTATGATCAAAAATGTTTGATTACCGCCTATCAGAAAGGTTTATTTCGATGCTAGATTTGTAAATTTCCATTTTATGGACATGGTTTTGGTTGTGAAAAAGTTTTAAGTAACTACGATGAAAGATTTATGAGTCCTAATGAAAGACGTATTACAATATAATTATTAAAGTTTGTAATGGAAATTGCAACATTTGTTCTGAAAATAAAGAGTGTACATATTGTAGGGAAGGGTATTTACAAAAAGATGAAAATAACAAAAATTGCTATTAATGTATTTTATAATAAATGATATTTATACGGATAGCTTGTCAAGGCCATTCTTATTGTTATTACGATAAAGTTCAAAACAAATTTTCTTATTTTGGGTGCATGCAAGGATATATGCAAAGTGGATATTATTGTGATGGTATTTGTATTAGGAGATTTTTTTTTAGATATAAGACCTTGTCTATACGCTAGCCCATCACTTATAAATAGATATAATTGTTATAGTTGCGAGTATGGATACTTAAAATAGGTTTACTCTGGAAGTGACTATCGTTGTTATCAAAAGGATTGGCATTGTGACCCCTCAAGATAATCAATGATATTTGATTATGAAATAAACAATATAATGGTTTATTATACAACATGTACTTTATGTGATCCAAATTACTTTTACTCGAATAAATTCAAAAGATGCATAACTTGTTACAGTTTGAATAATTAAATAGCTGTTAATGGTATCTGCATATGCAAACCATTCTCTGGTTTGTTAGAAGGAATTTGCAAACTTTGTGCTGATGGTTATTGTCATAATTGTGAAAGTGATGATTTTTATTAATGTACTTCATGTAAACCAGGATCAAATAGAATAGTAATAAACAAGGATTGCATTTGTTAACCAGGTACATATGATCCTGAAAATGATGATTAAATTTGTATTGGTAAATTTGTTATTGATTTTTAGTTTGTGATAAATCTTGTCAAAATTGCTTTGGTCCATTAATTTAAGAATGTATTGATTGTGTTGAGGAAAGTATTTCAAATAGAATTTAAATTGGAAATGTTTGTCAATGTAAAGCAGGATATTCTGAATATGAAATTAAGGAAAAAACCTGTGGAAGTATTACTTGTAATTAATTTTAGAATGTCATACAAAATGCTTAACATGTTTCTAACCCGCTGAAGAATCTGAAAACCAATATTGTCTTACTTGTATTCCAGGATAAAATCGTGTTGTTTCAGACACTTTTAAATGTGATTGTGAAGTTAATTATAGTGATTTTGAGGGTACTTTAGAAGTTTGCATTGGTACATGAATAAATTATACATAGCTTGTCATTATACTTGTGGAAATTGTTATGATGTTGAAGCCACAAACTGTTCATAATGCTCAGATACTTCTTACAGAGAATTAACACCTTTGGGAGAATGTTTATGTAAATAATCGTATTTTGATGATAATACTGAGAATATAAAATGTTAAAGTACTTAGTTAAATGTGATTAATAGAGTGTCATCATTCTTGTTTAATATGTGCAAACAGTACTGAAAAGGATGCATGTTTAGAATGTCCTTCTAGTAGAACAGCTTAATCATCAGGTAGTTT